GTGGGGCTCAAGCTGTGCCAGGGCGGGCTAGGTCGAAGGACTCTGCTGTGCTCTTTCCAGATTCAAATGTTTTTGTCTTGTCCCTTCATGGGGGCCCCTCAACCACCTACCCGCCCCCTCTGGGTTTAGTTAATTCTAAGCTCTTGTCCTTGCATTTCATTTGTGAACATCTAACTTCTCAGGACATTCAAGTTCCTGGAGCAATCTTTCTTTGCTCAGATCTCTCCCCCTACCCTCCATTCTGCCTGGGAAAAGCCACCCCCAAAACAGCCTCCTCCCCTAACCCCAGATGGCAAGTTAGACTGCTTTCTCGACCATCAATTTCCCAAGTGATGCAGATGCTGCTGATCTTGGAAATATGGAGAACCTTCTCTGCCAGCCAAGCCTGCCTGCCTTCCCTCCCTCCCTCCCTCCCTCCTTCCTCCTTTTTCTGTAGTGCTAGAGTTGGAACTCAGGGCCTCACACTTAGGCCTTCTCCTACCTGTGTCTCCCAGGTAGCTGGGATTACAGAGACTGCACAGAGACTGCTCTATCAGCGCTTTGCCCGCATGTGTGCCGCCCCACAGGTTAGGCCCCTGCCAGGACCTTGAGTGCATGCCTGTCCGTCCAGGCATAATGCACAAACAAGGACAGGCGCCCCACCAAGACCAAGCTCCAGACACACGGAGACACGTGAGAACCTCTGTGACAGTGTATGTCCTGCTCTTTGTCTTACGTATTCACGGTTCTGCTATGAAATGGTCAAAAATAGCACAATTTTGTAGCCAGGAAAATGTCCATGAAAATGAGCTACTTAGTGTGGTGAAGTTCAAAGTCTGACAAAACCAAGCGTTGATGGGAATATTCATTATTCCAAGTATATTTTCCTTTGTTTGTTGTGGGGCTTGAATTCAGGGACTGGGCGCTGTCCCTCAGCCTCTTTGTGTGAAAGGCTAGCTCTCTACTTTTGTGCCACAGTGCCACTTCCAGTTTTTGAGTGTTTGTCTAGAGATAAGAGTCTCATGGGGACTTTTCTTCCCTGGCTGGTTTCAAACCACAATCCTCAGATCTTAGCCTTCCGAGTAGCTAGGATTACAGGCATGAGCCACTGGCACCCAGCTCCAAGTACATTATTTAAAACAGTTGGGTGGCATTCAGCATGTGCTCAAATTGAGCAACTCCATTCTGAACATACAGAATGCAAGGTTATGTGCTCTGGCATCTGGGAACAAGAATGCTTCTAAGCAACATGGTTGCTTAGCAGGTAGTGCTAGCCAGAATTGATACAGCACAAATGCTTGCGACAGAGGGGCACACAGAGACATTCGGTCACTACTGTTCTATACAGCAATGCCAATGCCCAACTTCAGCTGTCCATGCAAGAGCATAGCTTAGTCTGGTATAATGGTGAACAAAGACAGCCAGACACAATATGGAATATGTACTATAACAGTCCCTCTCTAGAGTGACTAAATTAAACTCTATGGTTTTTTTGTTGGTCGTGGGGTTTGAGCTCTGGGCCTGGGCACTGTCTCTGAGCTCTTCAGCTCAAGGCGAGTACTCTACCACTTGAGCCACAGCGCCACTTCTGGTTTTCTGGCGGTTAATTAGAGATAAGAGTCTCACGGACTTTCCTGCCTGAGTTGTTTGAACTGTGATGCTCAGATCTCAGCCTCCTGAGTAGCTAGGATGACAGCCGTGAGCCACCGGCACTGGGCTATTACTCTTTCTAGTTGGTTTTAACACACACGCACACTAAACTTTTTTTTCTTTTCCTTGAGACAGGGTCTCTATCTGTCATCTGGCCTTGAACTTGCCGTGGAGCCCAGACAGGCCCTGAGCTTCTGACCCTCCTGCCTCAGCCTCCCAAGTGCTAATATTATAGGAAAACATTACCATATCAAACCTCTTTTATATGACCAGACTCATATAATATTTTGTTCTACACAGTTTACTTATTATTGCATCCTGAAAATATCCTTTAAAAGCAGCTTTCAAATTAGAATACAAAAAATATCTTTCTTTTAAATGGTGTCTTTGATCTACCAAAATTGATATTATTGAACCAGTCCTTGTTGGTAAACATCCAGGCTTTATTATTACTATCATTTCTTCTTCTTGTTGTGTGCTGGTACCAGGCCTTGTCTCTTGCTCAGCCTTTTTAAGGTTGGCACTCTCTCACTTGAACCACACCTCCACTTCTGGCATTTTGCTGGAGCACTGGTCTGAGCTGTTGACTCTGTGACCGATTTGTCTGCCTGACTGACTTTGAATTGTGATCCTCAGATCTCAGCCTCCTGAGTAGCTAGAGTTACAAGTGGGGTCCACTGTGCCTGGCTCATCTCATTCTTTTCTTTTTCTTTTTTTTTTGTTGGTCGTGGGGCTTGAACTCTGGGCCTGGGCGCTGTCCCTCAGCTCTTCAGCTCAAGGCGAGCGCTCTACCGCTTGAGCTACAACGCCACTTCCAGTTTTCTGGTGGTTTATTGGAGATAGGAGTCTCACTGTCTTTCCTGCCCGGGCTGGCTTTGAACTGCGATCCTCAGATCTCAGCCTCCTGAGTAGCTAGTAGTAGGTGGTGTGAGCTACCAGCGCCTGGCTCATCTCATTCTTTTCTAAGCAGACTAAATCTCCAGATGGTTTTTGAATGTAGTCAATGCGCTGGCAATTCTGGGCCAGAGCTGGTTCTTATCCCAGCTGCTTTTGTTCTTTGTTTTTTCTTTTTTGTTGTGGGGGGGGGGGAGGGCTAGTCAGGGCTTGAACTCAGGGTGTGGGTACTATCTCTGAGCTTTTCTGCTCAAGGCTAGCACTCTACCACTCGAGCCACAGCACCACTTAACCCATTTTCTAGTGGTTGATTGGAGATAAGGCTGGCTTCAAAGCATGGCCCTCAGATCTCGGCCTCCTGAGTAGCTAGGATCATAGGTGTGAGCCACTGATGCCTGGCTGAAATAAACATTTTCTGTACGTACCTTTTTACACCATGTAAATAATATCTTTGGAATGATCTCTACACATAGAGTTTGGGGATGAGTTAACATCGGCAGGCCGTCTACACTGCATGGCCTATCTACCCACATGGGAACAGCTCTGGTGATCTGATAGGCTGCAGTGGATGTCATTGTTGAGCATGGCGGCTCAAGCCTTTAAGCCTAACTCATTGGTAAGTGGAGATTGTGGTTTGAAGCCAACCTTGGCGTAAAAGTCTGTGAGACTCACCAGTGCTGGCGTGGTGGTGCGCATGCACCTGCCAGTCCATGTCTGTGCCCATGCTGTGAGCTGCCATCTCCAGGAACCCGGGAGGCCTGAGGAGGGGAAGGAAGCCCAGTCAAAGCAGGGCTCCACCTTGAAAGAAACCAAGGCAGAAAGGGGCCAGAGGCATTACTTAGATGATGGAGCACCTGCCTAGCCAGCATGAGGCCCCGAGTTCAATCCCCGTACCACACACAAAAGAAAATCTCCCTGTTTTAAATTGCATTTAGTCATGAGTGATCTCGAGCTCATTTTTGCATTGGCTATTTTCTTCCCCTGTGAACTCTGGTCATGTGTGGACAATTGCTGAGCTGTTTCCTAAGTTTTGCAAAAGATACACTGGCAAAAAAAATTAATTTAAAAGCCATGGGTTGTACGGCACTGCCAGCTGTGAAGCTGGGTGAGGGGCTGGGCATAGAGATGCAGGTAGGCCATACAGACCTTCGCCACCCCAACAGGATGGCCCCGCCCCTCCAGGCCCATCCCCCCATACACACCCAGGAACTAGTGGCAAATGCAGCCGCAAAGCCTGGGAGAGGCCTGCAGGTCTGCACACTGAACACACGGATGTGGCAAGCACACTCCTCTCCTTCAGGGCCATGTTCATCCTGTGTGGAGGCACTGGGGATACACAGATGAAATACAAGGGCTCTGCTTCCACACAGCCCTGGGTGGTCTTAGGATGCCTCCTAACACGGGCCCACAGAGTCCATTTGGCATTTACCTTTAAAAAAACAACCACCAGGGGGCTGGGAAGGTGGCTCAGTGGTAGAGTGCTCACCTAGCCTGCATGAAGCCCTCTGTTCCATTCCTCAGCACCACGTACACAGAAAAAGCTGGAAGTGGTGCTGTGGCTCAAGTGGTAGAGCACTAGCCTTGAGCAAAAAGCTCGGGGACAGCGCCCTGAGTTCAAGCCTGAGGACTGGCAAAAAACCCTCCAAAAACCTAAAACCAAAAAACAAGCAGGAGTTGGGCCTGGCTGCTTACACATGTAATCCTAGCTACTTGGGAGGCTGAGACGGATTGATTGTGGTTTGAGGCCAACCTTGGCCCAAAATTGGTAAGATTCCATCTTAACCAAAAACCTCTGGGCGCAGAGGTCCGTGCCAGTCAGTCCAGCTGTGTAGGAGCCATGAACGGGAGGACTATGCCCAGGGCAACCAGGATGAGATGCTGTTCAAAAACAAAAAAGAACAAAAAGAACTGGAAGTATAATTTGAGTAGAGCACCTGCCTAGAAGAACAAGGCCCGGAGTTCAAGCCCCAGTACTGCCCAAACACACAAAACAAAGGAAAATAGAACCACCTTGTGCGGTAATGACCAGCATTCCTATAAGTCTCTGCAGCAGCCTCCTCCTCCCAGAGGCCCTGGGCATAGGAAGTGCTCCAGACGGCCTAAGACCACAAATAAGCAACAACAGAGCCCGTGTGGGAACCCGAGCTGCGCTCCTGGTCTGCTCCCCTAAACTCTCCCTATTCTGAACGGGGAGAAGTGTTCATTAGGACCGGGGAGGGAGGAGTTGTGTGTGTGAGTGCTGAGAGCGCGGGAGAACGGTGGTGGTAGCACTGTGGTCGGAGCTGTGGCTCGTCAGCTGCTGAGCGGTGGGGTCGATCTTCCCAGACCCACTGTGCACCTGCCACGGTGCCAACAGCTCCACGCCATTCCCGGGCACTGGCGAGCGAGCTGAGGTCCCCCAGGGCGTCTCCTGTGCAGTTAGTTCAAATGGCAAACGCTTCTGTGTGTGTTTTAGGTTGTAGAGCTTGAACTCAGAGCCCAGGCACTGTCCTTGAGCCTTTGCTTTTAAGGCTAGCCTTCTGCCACTTGGAGCCACAGCTCTACCACTGGCCTTCTTGGTAGTTAATTGGGCATTAGAGTCTCCGGGACTTTCCTGTCTGGGCTGGCTTTGAACTGCCACCCTCAGATCTCAGTCAGCTAGGATTACGGGTGTGAGCCACCACTGCCCGGTGTGATTCTATGTTTTATACCATAGTCTGATTATCAAAGCTTTGTCTTGTTTAATGAGAAATGACTTTTTGTTTTCATTTAGGACAATTTTTTCCTTCAAAATCCTTCTTCGAGACACACAAAATATGGCGATATTAGTGAACGGGTTGAACTGAGGAAACGATTGCGCTGCAAGTCTTTCCAGTGGTATCTGGACAGTCTCTTCCCAGATCTGGAGGCATTCATGAGCAAAGAAAGAGAGGAAATAAAATAATTTTCATGAATAAAAGGTGAAAACATCCTCTAGTCCCTCAACACAGTGGCATCAGAGAACAAGTTTGGAACATCACGGAATGATGTGAAATGAAATGAAAATACAACCAGAGCGGCCTATGTCTCCAGTGCCTTTCCCTGCTTTTCTGAGCCAATTTTTGTTTCTAGCAGTCGAGCTGGCAAAGGCTGCCTGGTGAAAGACGCCCAGGTCCTGCCTCCGGTTCCTTTCTGCTGCCCGTCCGCGCTGGGCCGGCTCCTCACTGAGGGCTGGTATCCACCCACTTGTGTGGACATCGCGTTGCTCCTGCGGCCTTCTGCCCGCCTCAGCCCGCGCTGTCCTGGTGCTTTGCTAGTCTGTGTGCTGACTTGCACGTGTTAGGCTATGGCTTGGGGAGAAGGGGCAGGTACCCTATCTTTGTTGCTTCTTTGGGGTTCATCCTGGCTAGAGGTGTTGGAAAAGGGGAAAGAGGTTTAATTCACAAAGACAGGGAGAAAGGAAAGGAACATATTCAAAGGGGGAAAAAGTGTGTGTGTGTCTGGGGGATTTCAGATAGTGTATGCTAGAGAAAAGTCTAACAAGTCTCCGCAGAAGGAAATGATTTGTCTCAGCTCTTACGCTCATTTCGTCGGAATTGTTTACCTCTGGGCTAGGAAAGTGTCTGGATGGCAGGGTGCAGGGCACTGCAGGGAGCTGAGCAGGCCAACATCCCTGTGTCCTGGAGTTAGTGTTCTTTGATACAATATATAAATAATAATATAATATATAAATATAATATATAAACATGAGTAAAAAAGAATGGATTAGGGCTGGGAAGGTGGCTCAGTGGTAGAGTGCTTGCTTAGCATGCATGAAGCCCTAGGTTCAATTCCTCAGTACTACATACAAAGGAAAAGCCCGAAGTGGCGCTGTGGCTCAAGTGGTAGAGTGCTATTTGTGAATGAAAAGAAGCTCAGGGACGGTGCCCAGGCCCTGAGTTCAAGCCCCAGGACTAACAACAACAACCACCACAAAACCCAAAATGGTTTATTATAATCAAAATACTGTACAAAAACTATTTGGAGAAAGACATTGGAAAGATGGGCTGAAAGATGATTTAGGTTGGCCAGGCGCTGCTGTCTCATGCCTGTAATCCTAGCTACTCAGGAGGCTGAGATGTGAGGATCGCGGTTCAAAGCCAGCCTGGACAGGAAAGTCCGTGAGACTCTTATCTCCAATAAAACTACTGGAAAACTGGAAGTGGTGCTGTGGCTCAAGTGGTAGAGCGCTAGCCTTGAGCTAAAGAGCTGAGGGACAGTGCCCAGACCCAGAGTTCAAGCCACCAGACTGACAAAAAAAAAAAAATCAACAAAAAACAGGGAAACTCGATGAGCCTTTCAAAACTGCATCTGAAGCTCACACCTGTCATTCTACCTACTCAAGAGGCTGAGATCTGAGGACTACAGTTCAAAGGCAGCCCAGGCAGGAAAGTTCATGTAATGATTATTTCCACCAGAAAGCCAGAAATGGAACAGTGGCTCAAGTGGTAGAGTGCTAGCCTCAAATAAAAAAGCTCAGGGCCAGGTGCTTGTGGCTCACGCTTGTAATCCTAGCTACTCAGGAGGCTGAGATCTGAGGATAGCAATTTAAAGCCAGCCCAGGCAGGAAAGTCCATGAGACTCTTATCTCCAATTAACCACCAGAAAACTGGATGTGCAGCTGTGGCTCAAAGTGGTAGAGTGCTGGCTTTGAGCAAAAAAGCTCAGGGATAGTGCCCAGACCCTGAGTTCAATTCCCACAACTCTACAACTGACAAAAAAAAAAAAAAGGATGAGTGTAAATATCAGCTTTGCTAAAAGAAAAAAACTATGTGTATCTCTCTCTCTCATCCCCTCTTGTTATGTAACTAATACTAAATCTTAGTTGTGTAATTTATTTCAGGTGCTGAATAATAACCATTGGTTCTAGAAATAATTCAACATGTCCCTTAACAGTCTCCTCTTGGATACTGTTTCACTTGTCCATAAAATAGAAAACATCAGTGTCGGGTTGGGAAGGTGGCTCAGTGGTAGAGTGCTTGCCTTGCATGCCTGAGGCCCTGAGTTCGATTCCTCAGCACCACATAAGCAAAAAGAAAAAAGCCGGAAGTGGCGCTGTAGCTCAAGTGGTAGAGTGCTAGTCTTGAGCTGAAGAGCTGAGGGACAGTTCCCAGGCCCAGAGTTCAGGCCCCACGACTGGAAACGCCCCCACCCCAAAAAAAGAAAACATCAATATCAACCAACACTAGGTATTTGAAATAAAGGAGAGCTCTATTCTTTTTTGTTTTTGTTTTTGCCAGTCCTAAGGGCTTTAACTCTGGGCCTGGGTTCTATCCCTGATCTTCTTTTGCTCAAAGCTAGCACTCTACCACTTGAGCCACGCACCACTTCTGGTTTTCTGGTGGTTCGTTGGAGATGAGAATCTCATGGACTTTCCTGCCTGGACTGGCTTTGAACCGCGGTCATCAGATCTCAGTCTTGTGAGTAGCTGGATGACAGGTGTGAGCCACTGGATCCCAGCTGAGGTCTCTTCTCCTTCTCTTTCATCAGTCGTGGGGCTTGAACTCTGGGCCTGGGCGCTGTCCCTCAGCTCTTCAGCTCAAGGCTAGCGCTCTACCACTTGAGCCACAGTGCCACTTCCAGCATTTTCTGTTTATGTGGTGCTGAAGAATCAAACCCAGAGCCTCATGTATGCAAGGCAAGCGCTCTACCACTGAGCCACCTTCCCAGCCCCTCTCTACTTCTTTATAGGTGGTAATTTTCATTTTATATAGAGGTTTTAAAATCTGACTTTTATCTGCTGTTTTAAGGTTTTTCTTTCCAATGTACTTTTTGATATGATCAAATGCTGAAACAAGCCTTACACTCCAGAAGGGACAGACCATAACCCACTCCTGCAATGTCCCAGACTGGAATCCTCCCTCCAGCCACGGACCTCACTCCACTGAACCAGCCGGAGTGTCACCACGAACCTCACTCTACCTGAACCAGCCGGAGTGTCACCACGGTCCTGACTCTACTGAACCAGCCAGAGTGTCACCACGGAGCTCACCACGGTCCTGACTCCACTGAACCAGCCAGTGTCACCGCGGAGCCCATGTTGCCCTGAGCGGCCCCGGGCTTACAGGCTTCGGACGGGACTGCTGGCGTTGGGCAGCTTCCTTGCTTCCCAGCACTTCTCAATGCCCCGCGTCTCAGGAGGCAGGGGTCTCCCACAGGGGTGGCCCAGTGCTGCTCCCGTGTGGACGTGAGACACTTCACACACAGGCCACGGTGTGAATGTAGCAGCGCTCACAGCTGGCCGCGTTTCCACGCCACTCACTGAACAGGAAAGACACACTGAACACGTTACCAGAAGACAAGTTCAAGCTGAGCGCTGTCCTCGTCACTCAGCGACACAGACAGCCCCAGCCCGACACGTGCAAGGCCCCGGGCTACATTTCTGACACTACTGAATGAATGGGATGAGTGAATGAGTATTAAAAAGCACAACAACGCCCAGGGATTGTTGACCAGATCCATGTCCTACATGTGCACCATCTTCCTCACGGCAGACCTCGCTCCCCGCGACAGTGGAGATGACAGACTATGCCAATCTTTCTTCCTCTGTCTACGCTTCCTCTGTCCCCCATGACCGGAGTCGCGGGTTATGATGGCTCATGAAGAAGCTAACCAGGGTGGTGCTAAGATACCTGGGGGGGGGGCTGTGTAGGGGAGGAGGAGGAGGGGCTGGACAGGTGGGGGAGGCACTGCAGGGTGGGGGGGACTGGGGAACTGGGTTGGGGCTAGGACACTGCAGGGGTGGAGGCATGCAGGAGGGGGCTGATGGGGGGGAGGAAGCTGGCGCCAGCTGTGGCAGGAAAGGCAACCCAAGGCCTCTAAGGCCTGCCTGGAGCACAGGAGGGAGTCTTATCCAGGACTGCAGGGCAGGGACTGCAAAGGAGAGCTGGGAGGAGAAAGAAGGGCCTGAGGGTGAGACCTCTTGGGCCTGAGGCTGGCCTTCCAACTGCAGGCTGGGGCAGGGGCTGCTCTACTTCCAACCGCCAGGCTGAGGGCCACTGCAGGCTGTCACCGCCCTTCTAGAAAAATCTTCAGACAGCCTGTACAAAGCTGTGCCAGCTTACCCTGCTCCCTGGCCAGGGGGACTCTGCCCCACCTTGAGACTTGTTGAGCAGATGAGACATCTAAGCTCAGAGTGTGCCCAGGACTGGAGTTGTCAGATTTAGCCAATAAACATGCAGGATGCTTGGTTACACTTGAGATCCCGCTGGACCACGGGACTGTATGAACAGCAGTGGTTTGATGTGTCTCCTCCAAAGTGTACGCTGAATCTCAGTTGGGGAATGGAACCGCGTCAGAGGAGGGCTCTTGGGAGGTGATTTGGGCGCAGGCTGGAGCTCTCCTGAGCAGGATTAGAAGACCATCTAGGGGCTGGGAAGGTGGCTCAGTGGCCGAGTGCTTGTCTAGCACGCAGCACCCACATGCCGGGTGCCCCGCATGCGCACAGCACACACTCCAGTACAACATGATGCTTTAGCTGGAATTCAAATTTCAGGCCAGTCTGTGTCTCATGTGACAGCCATACCCAGGGACACACAAAACACAGCAGTCAGCCTGGCCTTACGGTGCACACTTACATACACACTGCAAAGACCACCTTAGAGCGGTTTTAACGGGGAAGAGCTGGAGTTAATCCAGATCTGCCATTACTAAGAGGACAGCTAAGTAGCCATCGTTATTGATTTGGTGGAATAGTAGTTAAAATCACAATGGCAGACACCCAATTCATACTCATCTGACTAGTACATATTAAAGAACTTGACACTGTCAAGGTGAGGTAGGAAGGGAAGCAATGGAAATGTGAACTCACAGTCTGTACTGAAGGTGTGTGTGTGTGTGTGTGTGTGTGTGTGTGTGACTCCTAAGCCAGCCCCTGGGGTTGTGAGATAGGGTCTCGCTGTGTCCTGGCTGACCTTTGAAATCCTCTCTCTGCGATCTCCTTCTGAGTACCTGACCTTCCGGGTATCTATCACGTCCAGTAAGAGACAC